GACTCGCTTGAGCCCAGGAGTTGGAGGTTGCTGTGAGCTGTGACACTACGGCACTCTACCCAGGGGGACAGCTTGAGGCTCTGTCTCAAAAAAATAAAAAAATAAAAAAATTTCAACCCCCCACTGCTAAATTTGACTGGAAAAAAAAAATAAAAAAAATAAAAAAATAAAAAAATAAAGCAAAATAAAGCCAATCCAGATCTGAATTCCATTTTTTATTTTAATTATTACTAGATTAAGTTAATGATCTCACTGGCTTTAATTTCTTCATCTATAAATTAGGGTTAATAACATCTAATATATAAGGTTGTTATAGGAACCAAATGATACATCAAGTCCTCTTAGCATAATACTTAAGGTAGACATTCAAGACGGTGCCCATAGCTCAGTGCGTAGGGTGCCAGCCACATACACCCAGGCTGGCAGGTTTGAACTCAGCCCAGGCCAGCTAAACAACAATGACAACTACAACAACAAAAAAATAGCAAAAATAGCTGGGCGTTGTGGTGGGTGCCTATAGTCCTAGCTACCTGGGACACTTAGGCAAGAGAATCACGTAAGCCCAAGAGGTTTTTTTTTTTTGAGCAGAGTCGCACTATGTCACCCTTGGTAGAGTGCAATGGCGTCACAGCTCGCAGCAACCTCAAACTCTTGGGCTTAAGTGATTCTCTTGCCTCAGCCTTCCAATTAGCTAGGACCACAGACACCTACCACAATGCCGGGCTGTTTTTTGTTGCAGTTCCCATTGTTGGTTAGTTGGCCTGGGTTGGTTTTGAACCCACCAACTTTGGTGTATGTGGTTGGCTCCATAACCACTGTGCTATGGGCGCAGAGCCAAAGCCCAAGAGTTTGAGGTTGCTGTGAGCTGTAACACCCTGCACTCTACCAAGGGCGACATAGTGAGACTCTGTCTCAAAAAAAAAAAAAAATAGACATTCAATAAATAATAGTTGATATAAAATGCTACTAGCTACTTCTATTAATAATGCTATTTGGAATTCTATTCCATTGGTTTTTGAACATTAGCAGGCATCAGGAGCACCTGGAGGCTTGGTAAAACAGACTGCTCTGCCTCAACCCCTAAGTTTCTGATTTAGTTAAGTCTCAGGCTAGAGTAGGACCTGAGACTCTGCGCTTATAACAGATTTCTTAGCAGTGTTGCAGGTCCAGGGACCACTCTAACTACTAGTCTTGTGGCTGAGAGCCCTCATCTAGCTAGTCCCTTCATTATACAGATGAGAATTTAGGCCTAGAGAGGGAACCCCAAAGTGCCACAGCCCAGGCATAGCCCAGGTATCTTGCTATCTGCTGAATGATTTAAATATGTAACAGCTATCTTCAGAGCATTTTATTAGTTAAGCCTTGAAGATTGACATTTCACTAGATTGCTTATGAAAAATTTTAAAGGTCATTGGACAGTTAGAGGAGAATAAATATGACCAGGACCAGTGCTGTCATCAAACAGGACCTGAAGAACATGCACTGAAGAAGGGGAACATGGAAGTTTCTCTCTCTAAGATGCTATTTGAAGTGTTCTACATGCATTATCCCACTGAATCCATACAACAACCCTATGAAGTAGATATGTACTTTTATTATCCTGTCTTGCAGATGGGAAAATGGAAATGTATGGAGATTAAATGATTGACAGCACTTGGATTCAAATCCAGGCAATCTGACTTTAGAATTGTAGTCCTAAAAAAAAAAAATTGTAGTCCTTGGCTTGGCGCTTGTATCTCAGCAGCTAGGGTACCAGCCACATACACCAGAGCTGGCG